GATGGTGCTCAGGTCGAGCTTGCAATGTATAAGACCCTCGAACGAGTGCACCTCAAGACATGTTCGCCCATCATTGTTGGCTCACTCGAAAACTTTGTCCAAAGAATCGCCCAGCTCGAACAGCTCGAACAAATCATCAATAGTCAATTGATCTCTTCAGCTTCCGACTTGCTACGATACTATGCCTGCCGCTATCCGAACTCATGCGGCTGATGGTGGGAATGCGCAACTAGGCAAACAGGTGACCTGGGCCGCCCCTCGGCACAATTCGCAAGTTCATCCGTCTGAGCCCAATGCTTTGGTCCCACTACCAAACGCGATGGTGGCAGACGGCATCGAGATCAAGATGTGCCTCGACTCTCAGATCCACATCGGCTCCGGCGACTCGTCATTCGATTACCTATCCTACATCGCTCGATCCGTCATCCACGGTCTGCCTTCGAGCGCCTACTTGATCGTGACGGACAGAAATGTGGCCAAATTCCACCTGACCTCCCTCGAGGCTGCATTCCAGGCCGTCATCGAGGAGGCCAACGTACGCATCAGCTCCAAAGTCTCGACTTACATCATGCCGAGCGGAGAAGGGACAAAGACTCGGGAAACGAAAGCGGATATGGAGGATTGGATGCTGGCCTCTGGACTCACTCGTGATACCGTCGTCATCGCTTTGGGTGGAGGAGTGGTAGGCGACTTGGTGGGATTTGTAGCTGCGACATACATGAGGTCCGTCAGGCTCTGTCACGTTCCGACCACACTGCTCGCCATGGTCGACAGCTCGATTGGTGGTAAAGTGGCCGTCGACACACCTCTGGGCAAGAACATGATTGGAGCATTTCATCCTGCCAAGCACATCTTTGTCTTTCCGCACTTCCTTGTCACTCTGCCAGCTCGCGAAGTAGCAAACGGCATGGCCGAGGTGATCAAGACGGCTGCGATCAGAGATTCCACCATGTTTCGCCTCCTTGCAAGCTCTGCCCCTGACGTTTGGCAAGCTTTCAAAGACGTTAAAGATGCAAGTGGAACGTGCATGTTGGAAAGTCGACTGCACTTGCTGCAGTCTTTCATTGCTTCTTCCATTGCGATCAAGTCTGACATTGTCAATGCGGATCCCAAAGAGCTGACTGGCACTCGCAACTTGGTCAACTTTGGACACACGATTGGTCATGCCATAGAGTCGCTGTTGGTGAGTCAGGGTGCGCATTGTCTGATGCTGATCACGAATGCTTACAATCCATGCGCGTGTCCTCCGATCCAGCTGCCGGAAGCGCTGCACGGTGAAGCGATCGCGGTCGGCATGTGCCTGGAAGCACGCATCGCTGTGACAAAGGGTCACCTGACAGCCTCCGAGCTACGGTCGCTACGAGATTGTCTGAAAGCCTACAACTTGCCCACGAGCTTGCTGGATTTTGCAAAGTGCGCGTCAGCACCCGACCTGACCATCGACAAGCTGCTCGGTCGAATGGCAATCGACAAGAAGA